ATCACAGTGCTGATAGCAAACAGCCAGATTCCAGAACATGTAACAGAACTATTTACAGTGAGAAGCTTTTCCATGTACAAGCAAAATTTCAATGTGATCTCAAGAGTTCAAATTCACAGCTGTTGGCAAATGCTTCTCTCCTGTAAACTTTCACACTGCACTCATGATCACCAGCTCTTCATTTATAGCACCTTACAAATGAAAAAGGATGCTCCCTGCTGCTTTGCATGTTGAATTCTATACTTGCTTGTGTTGCCTGTATGAAGCTGCTGTTCTGCTCAAAAAAATAAAATTGCTCCAAATGTTGTTATTCCGTGGAGTGTGTTCAGCACTTTAAAATAACTGATATTATTTGTTTATTTGGAAGATTCTCTAGAGACTTCTTGAACAGACATGAAATCCATTTCCCCATTCAACATTAAAAGCAATACTCACCTCTGTTTCAGATTTAATTTGTTTCCATAACAACAGACACGTATCAAGTCGTAACTCACTATTACCCAAGTCATTGTTTCCCTTACTGAAATAGTCAGCTAGAAAAACAAAACAGAAAAAGATGGCATTCACTCTCAGCATTCATAAATTAAGAGTTCTTCTCAAAGAAACCTAGAAAACTTTAAGAGAGAACTGAAAAAATATTGGGATTTATTTCTTTTCATTTGAGAGCAGAAGTTAAACACAAAATAAAACAGTTGTCTGAAATGTAACATATGTAGCCCCATTTGTATTTATATATACAAACTATTCTTCCCTGGGTTGTTTTTTCTCTAAGCATAATCTCTAATTTGTGTTTCATTGCCATGTCAAAGTAGTCATGTAACTTTCATTTTACCACATATAACATATAAGCAGTCATGTAATTTTCAGTTTGCCGCAGGAAATTTATACACTAACCTGCTGAAGACCTTTTCCTCTTGTTAGAATTTGGCTTGAATACAAAGCAGCCCTAAAGAGTGTGTGGGAGAGAAATATTGATTCCATTAAACATTTTGTCCTAATTCTACATTGACAGAAATGACCTATAATAAGTGAGACACTTATTTCCTCCATTACCATTTGCTGCTCCATATTTCACTTTTTTTGCAAGTGCAAAAACTAGAAACACCATCTTTTCTTTATATAAAGTGCAGTTTTCAGTAAACTAAGTAGATGTGAATGAGCTACTCCAAATAGTACATAAGAAATTGTATGTGTTTGTGTGCTGAATCAACTCATGATAAAAACAAGTATGTGAATTCCATGTGGACTTTCCTAGGGCTGGCATCAAAGGAAGATAATTACATTTTATTATGCATATATCCCCTAATGTCTCAACAAAGAACAATCAGATATTTATTCTAAGATGAACAAAGGATTTATTAAGTGGATTAACAAATATACTACATTCACTTTTACAAGGAATTGAGTATCTGCAATTTCCTCTGCTTCATAAAGAAATTTTTAGAATGTTTTCTTCATTGTAGGAAAAATACTTTTCCAGATATTTAACTTCAAAATATGAATTTCAAAATATTTTATATCATGAAAAAAATTCAAATGCAGCACATAAAATTATATATGTTACACACATTACAATGTTCATGTTTCAAAACAGTAAGCAAAATTTTCAAAAATGTGTACAGCCAAGCAAAATAATAGTTTGTTTTTATTTACTGCTTTTTTATTTCTAGAGATTTTATGTAAAAAAAACCTTTAAATATGACAGGGTCATTTGATAAATATTGTTTATTCTCATATATATTTATTTATTCACAAGAAATGATTGATTTAGATTCACTTTCAGGGAAAGTATGAAGAGAACAGTGTTTTAAAAACTCCTCATAACATGATAATATTGTATATATCAAACAAAATACAAAATAGCCAAAAACTGAGCTTTTCTTATATAATGCTGAATGTTTAATATTCAAGAAGTATATGTATTATCACACCTTTTTAAACATGATGAATCACAATAACATATGAAGGTTTTGCTGGCTCAGGCCAAAAGCTTATCTAGAATTGTACTTCATGCCTGTACACACCCCAAATTATACAGCAAATTGGAATAAACCAAGACAGCCATTTACCCAAACTGAATAAGCAGGTCTAACCCATCCTTGTTATCAAACAAAAATGTACTCCTGTTGCACTGAAGCATCACTGTGCTGAGGCTTGCAATACTGCAACAACCATACTAAAAAGTGGGAAGAACAAATGATATTCAATTTGTGCAAATTACAATGATGAAGAGGGGAGAAGGATTTCAAGATCAATTTGATCTGTCTTCAGACGGAGCTAACCTTCAAATTCTATGGTTGCTGTCATCCTAATCAGAGTCAGTCTTGTGATCGGATCATATTCCTAATATTTTGGATTAGTGGTAGGATCAAGAACACAGCCTTGGGAACTGAAGAATTCACTACAACTGAAATAGTTTGAGCAATCAGTCTTATGACAAATTATACAGATAGTCCTCAAATGGTAGTGGGAATTGGGATTGGGATTTCAATTGCTAATTGATGTGGCCATTAAGTGAGGACCTAATGTGACTATGACATGGGAAGAGATGGGAGACACAAGCAAATAAGCTGGTGGGTGAGAGCTACAGGTGAGGGGAGCGCTGCAGGCGGGCACTAGGGAGCAAGGATGAGTTCTGGGAAAGGAAGAACAGGAGCCAGGACCATGAGTTTTCCAAGCAGCGGTAGCCATGTGCCACTGCTGGCCTGGGCAATCCTGCTGCCGGGCAGTGGCCTTTCGGAGGTACCCCACCCCTATTGGGCATGACCAAGATGCCTGGCAGCAACTCCTGGCAGCTATTGGATATTTCCTCTGTGACAAGGCAGCTGGAACAGGAAGCGTCAGCAGAGCCAACACAGCCTCTACTCTTTAGGGCTTGATGGTGTTAAGTTCTGTAGAGAGGAGGCATGCAAAGTGAAAGTCAGCTGGTGGCATATGGGGAAGACAGGTGATGTGGGCCAGCTTGAATTTTGATCTTATGACTGTTGAGAGTGCGGTGATGACCAGAACTTTGAGGATTGGACTTATGTCCATTTTTTCAGTGCCATTATAACTTTGAAAAGTCACTGAATAAATGGAACTAACTCATACTGGATTCAGACCAAAGACTATAGATTGGGCTTGGGAAGACACTGGGAGATTTCTAGAAGAAATGCAAAGAAAGGGGCAGGAAAATATTTGGGAGAGGAATATAAATGAACAAAAATAACGAAAGCCCCCCCCCAAAAAAAAAAAAGCACTGCCATTATTTTTGCTTCTACTCTTTCCTCTGGATCCTGAAAGCTTTATTAGAAAATAAGAACAATGATCAGTTGCAATCTAATATTTAGTTTGGAAATATGCCCAGCTTCCCAGACACACACCCCCCCCCCAAGAAAAAGGAAAAGCAGCAATTTTGCAGGAAGGAGAAGGCTACAATCGGTGTCAAGCAGCATCCTTGTGGATGAGTCTATGCAATTGTTATCACTTCTGTAGCCCTCATTTTGTGAGTTTTCAAAGAACATATGTTCCCCAAATCTTAGTCAAACCACCAGCTGCAAACCTTTGGGGATCTCTGCTCTAGAGATACCGTGTACTCAACTATCTAGGAGGAAAGCACTAAGAGCGGTTGCTCTATATTTTCTTTCTACAAATACTAGGGAAAATAAAAGGCAAACTGGTGACTTTATGGAGATGCCTGTGTCGCTTTCCTAACAGAAATAAAAGTAATCCTCAATTTACAACAACTGAGGCCCCAGATTCATGTTGCTAAGTGAGAAATTTGTTACGTGAGTTTCGCCCCATTTTACGACTCTTCTTGTCACAGTTAAGTGAATCACTGCAGTTGTTACATTAGTAACATAGTTTAAGTGAAGCTGGTTTCCCCATTGACTTTGCTTGTCAGAAGGTTGCAAGAGGGGATCACGTGACCCTGGAACGCTGCAATGTCACAAATATGAACCAATTGCCAAACATATGAATATAATCATGTGACCGTGGGGAAGTTGCAGTGTTCATAAGTGTGGAAAATAATCATAAGTCAGTTTTTTCAGTGTCGTAACCTCGAATGGCCAATGAACTGATATAAGTTGTGGACTAACTGTAGTTAAATGGTTTGCCTTCTTCTGGGATGTTTTCTTCACTTCCCAGTGTAGCCTACTACCTGCATATATCCCATCGAAGTATTAACCAGGTCTCAACTTACTTATCTTAGCCATGGTCAGCCAGGAAAGGAAAGTGCATGTTTTCTGGCATGAACAAAAAAATGTTTGAATGAATGAGGGAAAACTTCCTAACAGCGCTATTCCATCTGGGGAAAAAGATGCCCCTTTCTACTATTCTGCCTCCTAAATATGGGACAGCAATGGGACAACAGGAGGGTTGTGAACAACGCAACCTGAGGGACTTGACCTGACGAAAAGGATAATTAATATCTTTATTAATGACCACATTCCACAATTGCATTGTTTTTCCCAGGCTCCTAACTTTGCTTTTCTCCATTTAGTTTCCATCCTCCCAAGGAGGAAAACAACAACGAAAAGAGATGCTGTTGTTGCGCAACACAACACAAGGCACACACACACACACACACCCCAAGCGGGAAAGCCAGGAAGCTCACAGCTTCAGCGATCCATATGCGCATGCCCGAGGAGCGACGGGCATTATCAAGTGATCATCAGGATCGCGAACTAAAAGTCCCTCGCGGACCCGAAAGCGAGGCGTCCGTTCGATTCCTCGAGGGAGGGGACTGAATCCACTCCCTCTCCTTTCGACTCACCTTGGACACCGAGCACGTGCTCATAGCGAAGGCTGAAGCCTCCCCCGGCGCCAAGACAGACCCGCCAACATTCGTGAACGGACTTCCGGAGAGAGTCCCCCTATCCCCCGTCCCCACTTCCGGGATCTGTGGCGTGTGTAGCCGTTTCTTTCCCTCCCTGCGAACTCCCGATGTAGTTCGTCCGGCTCGTGCTTGTCATCTGCGTATTCTCTTTCTGAGGCGAGTTCTGCGGCCGCCCCCGTTACCACAAAGGGAAGTCAGGCTGCAAGTGGCTCCTCCCCCACACATGACAGAAGAGTGGAAAAGCAGAGAGCGCCACTCTAACAAGAACTATGGCGAGGTGTCGTTTCCGGAAGTGCATTGCTGCTCAGGTATTGATCGTCCCTTTTCAAAGAATCATAGGGCTGGAAGGGACCTCGGAGGTCTTCTAGTCCAACCCCTTGTCCAAGGCAAGGAGAACTTATTCTATCACGGATAAATGACTGTCCAGTCTTTTCTTGAAGACCTCCAGCATTGGAGCACCCACAACTCCAGAAGGCAAAGTGTTCCATGGATTATGCCAAACAAACTTTATTATTTTCTTTAATAAAGCGATTAAATTAGTGGATCAGCTGTGGATAATAATTTATGTGGACTTCAGTTAAGTAATGCACTATATTTTGGCGTGCCAGAGATTCTGGAATGCCTGTCGTATTTTTCAGACAAATATTTTTGAAAATACTTTTCAAAAAATACTTTTCAAAAACTTCTGTAATGCATTCCTTCCGCGGGGGGGTGGGGGGGAGTCAGGAATTTGGTAGCCTCTTTTCCAATTAACAAATTTTATTTTAAAAAGGGTATGAGTTAACGTGAGATGGAACTCACTTCATTAGATGCTAAGGTGGGTAGGCTGCTTTGAGAGGAGAGGAAGACAGATGTAGGTTACTTATGAGAGAGATTACAAATGTTTATGAATTTTTAATGTATGAAAAAAACATTGAAAGAAAAACACCTTTCCACATTTAACACTATGCTACTAAGACCTGCTTTTGAAAAAAAAAATCACTTTGAGGTCTGCCTTCTAATGTCCTGGGAGATTGAAAGCTCCGATACAGCTTTGCCCTTGGTTTAAGTACTGATATCAAATTTGTGTCTGTTGATTCTTGTGCACTGGAAGATGAACACATCAAGACACATCTAATTCTCTGTAGGTACTTGCTGAGTTCTGTGATGGTGATGTTGGCATAGGGACAAAGTAGGCACCTAGTGTTGTTGCAGGGCTTATTTCCCATATTAGAATCATTGTTGTTTCTTGTTGTTTGTGAAGATCTGCTTCAAGTTGGGTAAGTTGTCCATATTCAAGTCTGGTGCTGCTACCCAAAAGGGAACAATGGATATTCCCCCACTTGTCTTACAGCAGCTGGACTTATGCTATTCACTTGCTTGGATTTAAAGCCCTTGTACCTTCTAGATTCAAGGCTGTAGTTCTTTATCTGAATGTTGATCTTCAGTGGAAAAGATCATTCCAGTTGCAAAAAGGAAATGTATGGTGAAGCTGTACATTTTTATCTGAATGCTGATCTTCAATAGAAAAAATAACTCCAATTCCACAAAGGATAATGTATGACCTTGGTCCCCAACTTTTCTGGCTTTGCCAACCAGCGGGGCGGATGGGAGAGGGAATGATTGTGTGAGAGTGGCATGCACATTCATGTGTGCACAACTCCATTTGCACAAGCAGCAGACACACATACATAGCTGACACAAATTGCGCCCTTCCACCCATCCGTCTGCTGCTTGTGTGAATGGAGCTGCATGTCTGCTCAACCATTGCTTCCACAGCCCAATTCCCAAATAGGCCATGGCCCAGTGGTGGCTGCAGCCTGGGGTGGGGGGTTGGGGACCCCGATGCATGGTGTTCATTCTTCTAATAAATATTGGTCAATTCTTATGGAAGTAGGAAAGAAAGAGGAATCTCCATTGCTGTAAGAATGTAGCCTCTGTATGCGTTTATATGTGATAAATTTTAATGTAATGAAATAGAAGATAAAAGGATAGCAAGGATATTATTGCCTGTTTATTCTTCCACACTAAATTTGGCAATTTTATTTAAAATAGCTTTCACATGTTTTGAAGATCCCACCAGAAAACCTGGTAAAATCAATCTCTGCTGTTCCAGTATCAAAAAATAGGTAGGATATTTATACTTTAGAATTTAATTTCTTGAGATTCTTTTGTCTTATGTACAAAATAGCAAATAAAACTAGGAATAAAGTCCTGGCACAGTGTTTTGACTCATTCAGTCTCTGTTTCAATTTCTCAATATTTCTAGCATCACATAAGACAGGAGACAGTAACCTTCAGATATTAGTGAACTGTAATTCCCATTATTGCATTGCTGACCAGGACTAATGTAAGTTGTAGTTCAGCAACATCTAAGAGACTAGAAGCTCCTAACATTTCCATAAGAGTAGTTAACTTTAGGCACCATTGGGCAAACAGATTAAGTGCCATTTTATGACTTTTGGTGTTTGAAGAATAGAAACTACAATATCTAGCTTGTATATTGTTAACTAGGCATATTAGTTTCACAGATTATTTGCTATTTCAGAAACTTTGAGGGATGAAGTTACTCTAGATATTTCCAGCTATGTTAACTCTAAACCTTAGGAATCGTGACCCCTTTGTTATGAAAAGAGTCTGAACCTTTACATTCCCCTCCCCCTTTTTTTAAAGGCAAACTGCTGATTTCCAATTTTCTATGAGTCCTGTATTAGATGCAAATTCTACAAATTACACAACTTCAGATATTAATCTTCAGGCAGAAGAGCTGGCAAACAAGGTATGTAGTAATAAGCATTGATTAGAAGCATCAATAAAAAGTGCTTATCAAATGTTTTGTACTGCATAAATATTATGAAAAATGGTATCCTACAGATTATGAAGACTTTGGGAGGGTCAATTCTTTGCCCTACTGTTTTTACCAGTGAAAAGAAAAAAAGCCATTCTTACCTTTGAACAATTGCAATCAATAGTCTTTTTAAAATTTGTTTGAAATACAATTAAATACTATTTGCTTGGATGACCCAGCTGCAGTTGCTATAATTCTTGAAAGCAACATTGTTTACAAGTTCTTGCTACTTTTGTCAGAAAGACATAGCAGCATTTTGGTGCAAGCTCCAGCCCTTTGGAATGTGCTTGCTATGTGTGAAAATGCACATAGAAAAATAGCAGGCTGCCTATTGCAATGCTGCTCTACCTCCTTGCCCTCCTTACAGGGACTTCTTGAAAATGTGAAGTTACATAACACAGCGTACAAGATAATTCTACTTATTTGTGACTTACTCTTCTGTCTATATGCTTTACTTTTATTTTAGCTAAAATGTGATGCAGTCGTGAGCCAAATCAGCCCAGGTAAAGGAACAGTAGATTTCACAATAAATCGAGACTTATTAGCAAAGGTAAGAACTAATGTCTTAAGAATTGCAGAATAGAAAAAAACATGCTAAATTTGAAGCTAGTGTTTTCTATAATAAGATACTGGTATAGAGCATACAGTTCCTATTCCATAGTTCTAACTTAAATGATCTTCCCAATGATGTAAGTTTAAAAAAATATAAAATAATAAAATACAGTTTAAAAATAAACATATCGGATAAAAAGGAGTAGCAATAATCTAAAAACACGTTTTTTAAAAAAAAAACCTTTTGCATGAATATTAATATTGTTATTTATGAGATCAACAATTATTGACATAATATTAATCATAATATTGCTAGCTAATTTAAAAATATATGAATATGAATGCCACGTTTTGTGAATTGAGCATGGGCAGATTGAAAAATGAGTGTTCTCAGTTCAGAAAAGTAATCAAGACTCAGAACGATGAATTAGCGTTGGCTGCTTGCTATCTGTGTACTTGAAAAGCATTTGCAGATGTCTGCTTAGATGATGTGAAGTCAGGTTTTTGCGGAGTGAGAGATTCATGATTTTGCAAATATCCATGAAAGGCATTACCTTGGCCTTAAAATGATCTCTTAATTCATTACTCCCGTTGTAGCTATGTGTATTTTGTTTCCTAAGACAGTGTTGCAGCAGGTATTTGAAGATGGCTCTGAATATGGAATAAAGAGCGAACTTTTCTCAGGCTTGCCAAAAAGAAAGGTTCTGATTGATTTTAGGTGAGTATACAGGCTTAGTTATTTTGGAGCATGCTTAAAGTGCTATGCAGGTTTACAGATTGGTTATGTAAGCAACCTGTCTGAAAATCAACATTGATACATTGGCCTAATTGGTTGGGTTCATTTGTTTCTAGTAAAGTAGGAAGTTTGCTTTAGGGAGTATTAAAACCAATCTTTTTACATCTGAGCATAGGTTCAGTTTCCCTTGGAATATGCAGGTTTTTCCATTTCAGTTACGACACAATTTTGTTATTTCATATTGCAATAAAATATAGGAAAGAACGTGAATACAGATACAAAGTGAAATTTGGGTTTTGTTTTGTTTTTTGAAAGACCTGTGGTTTAGCATGCAGTATATATTTCTGAAGGATGTCCTTCAGTATTGATTTTGTTAAGTGTTTAGTTTATAAAGCAGTGAAAATGCCCATGATTCCATTTACTTTGCCATACTATATTGTTTGCATTTGTTAGCATGTCATTTGTGTTTTCCTTTACGAGCTTCACAGTATGAGCTAAATGGAGAATACCTTTGTCCTGCCTTAGCCATGAAAGCCAGCTGGGTGACCAGGGGCATGTTTTTTTCTGTCAGCGCAACCTACCCACTGGGTTGTGGAGGAAATAGGAGAAAGCTGTGTTGGATATGTTCACTATCTTGAGTTATTTGTAAAAATAAAGGGCATTTATAAATAAATAAAAAATGTTGATTTAAAGTCTGGTTTGACATCTCTTCCTTTTGGAAGGTGGGGAATAGAACCTAAATGATGAATGTTCACATTTCTTGCAGTTCACCCAACATTGCAAAGAAATTTCACGTTGGTCACCTGCGTTCTACATTAATAGGTAAGATCTAAATATAATTAAATTGTAGCCTATAAATGAGGAAACCATCTGAATATGGTGATGTAGTGTAAGTTATAGTATTTGTAACTAGTGTGTGAACAATAGGTGCTGATGTTTAATCTTAATCACTTAATATTTAGTCTTAGGCTACGTGATAAGCTTTGAGCTGCTTTGAAGACATTGCTAAATGAGTATTGCTTCTGTGCATTTTGAAAGTTTTTCAAAAGGGGACCAGATTGAGATAGAATCAAACAAAGTCTTTTAAAAAATGACTTTGGGAATAAGGAAAAAAAATAATCATCTAGTTTTAACTCAAATGTTGAAACAGTGAAACTGAATTATTTTGCATCTAAGAACTTTAGATGATTCAAAAGAAAGACTCAGCTTGTGACCTTTCTAGATAATATACATTAAATAAGAGCTATAAAAAAAACCTATAGCCTACAGGTGTAATCAGTTCATTTCAAGCCTAGAAATTTTCTTCCTCTGATTTGCATTCCCTTAAATGTATTACTTAATGTAGACTCGTAGTTCTTCTTATTAACGTTAAGTAATGGGAACCTGGCAGGGAAGGTCACAAATGACAGTCATGTGACTACAGGGTGCTGTGATGGTTGTAAGTGTGAGCCATTTACCACATCATGATTACATGACTGGAGGGGTGCTGAGATGACCGGAACTTTGAGAACCAATCGTAACCCTGGCTTGTTTGGTACCAATACTAATTGTATCTTCAAACAGTCATTGACTGTTATTAACTGAAGAGTACCTATACAGTGATAGAAAAGGGAGATCAGATTATATAAAATGACCATTTGGGGATAAGAATGCAGCTGGGACAAATAATTACTCTGATTTATTTTCAGGGAATTTCATAGCAAATATCAATGAAGCGATTGGACATCAAGTAACAAGAATAAATTATCTTGGAGACTGGGGCATGCAGTTTGGTAAATATATATTTTTTAAAAATCGGTCTTATGGTTAGTGTAACATAATCTAGGCTGGTTATTTTCAGTCTTGTTATAATGAGCTTTTTAAAAATGAAAAGTTCTCAATTCTATTGTGGAAATGAATATGAGGACCCAAAGCAGGTCAAGAGAGATTGGGTCATTTTTTAACACTAAGAATACTGATATGTGCAATTTGTAAATTCCTTTGTTCTTTAAAGATAAATCACTTAATTTAATTCTAAAAATCCATAAAACAAGACTTATCATCCAGTCTGTATCTACACATATTTGATTACACCAAAAAAACAAGAATGTGAGTGTAAGAAACTTTGAATTTCTCAGTAACAAATTTCAGAATGGCCATGTTCTTTTGACTGTAACAGAGGGGGAACCAAGTACAAGGCCCTCCTATGCTTGCAGAGCTGTTCTGGGATTGTATTTCACATTTGAAGTGAGATTTGGACAGGTCCTAATGTTCTATGGAAAAGTATATTATTTCAGTTGAAGAAAATAATCTTTTACTCCCATGCACGAAACTCCCGATATTTTTTTCCGGGGTCCTTTGAGTTTATATGATCATGGCTCAAAACATCAAAAATTCATATAGCAGTGGTTTTCAAATAGCAGTGGTTTCCTGATATATTACTATAATTAGTTTCTGTTATTGTTTCTATTGTTGTTTCTTTTGTCACTGTTTCTATGATTGGATGTGGGTGACTTTAAATTGTGTCCTTCTGAAATCTGCTGGGCAAGCAAACTGTTAGCACAAAGCTTCTGTTTTTCTGCAGTTATTATTTTGAATAGGTTTTATTAGGTTTTTGGATAGCTTTATTAATTCCATATTTACAGTCTGTGCACCGTTTCCTCACAGGCTGAGATCAGATAATAATGTCTGAGTTTAACAGTTGTATTTTAGCTTTTATCGCTACACTTAACTCCCAGTGTGTCTTCTTATGGAGCACAAGCAATTAACCCAGGAAATATCTGTGTAAGAATAAATTACTGTTTAATTCAAGAATTCACAATGAAAAAAGATAAGAAAAAAAAGAGGGAAGTAATATGGGGGGGGGGGGGAGACCTGAAGAAATTGTGTAAATAGGTAACTGTAGAAATTCCTTTAAACATTCAGAAATAAAAACTAACTGATTTATACAGTAAATTATTCTCCTTTAATTCCCCTGCAAAGTAGTAGAAATTGCTGTTTGTTATTGAAATGAAGAAAGAGTGCAAAGAAAAAGGTTTAATTCTGCCCAAATCTAACAGATTCAGTATCCCTAGTTTGATCTTCGGGTAATCTGATCAGTATCCAAACAATGACATCCAAGCATTAGATTGTATTGGCTGCCTCGGTGGTGCTCTTCATATTGACACAAAAGGGAGTTCCACTGTTCACGGCAGAATAGTCCCAGGCTCTGATAGGACACAGCTCCCTGTCCCTAATCCCCTTCATTCTCTACTCATTGAATAGGAACATTTGTATTGTGAATCCTTACATGGCAAACAAAGTTCAAGACTATGTAAGCCAGATTCATAAACATCTCTATATGGTCATTTTTGCAGTGCAGACTTCCATGTCAGGACTCCTCAGCATTAGGGAGCATCTGCAACTGCAGGATATTTTGTCCCAGAGGTGCTTTTTCAGGAGGCAACTGGGCTTTCTTGTTTTTTCTTTGAAGACATTTTGCTTTTCATCCAAGAAGCTTCTTCAGCTCTGACTGGATGGTGAGATTCCTGGATGAGAAGCGAAACGTGTTTAAAGAAAAAACAAAGTCGAGTTGCCTCCCGAAAAAGCATCTCTGGGACAACCATGAGCTGATTGACTGAGAATCTCCATAGTCAAGGATATTTTGTTTATTTCTTTGTTCCTTCAGATATATGTTTAAAATTTGTAGTGACAGAGAAATAATAAACATAAATTTAAAATATACTTTTAAAAATCAATGATATAAAAAAGAAGGCCCTGATATGCTACTAGTAAACTCAGTGAATTCTTCAAGGATCTCCAAATGTCTCCAGGAAGGGCCATGTTTTCATGGATCTTCAAAAATATAGGGAGATGATCCAAATATGGTGGTTGGTAAGGGGTATATTAATTTATTCTTCTGTAGTGTTTGGGTTGTGTGTGTGTACTTTTTAAATCTTATTCTGTAAGCTATATAAAATCACTTTCTGATTGAGATGGCTTTGAAATCAGTGAGTAAACAATAAACACTTAGGGATAAGCTGAGTTGGATCCTCTTTGTATAGAAAATTACTGCTTAATTTTGGGAATACTCCATTTCTTAGCAACTTAGTTTCCTAAGTTGCTAAGTGTAACCTCTTTTTGCTTCCTCATTCCTTACGTTCATTATGCGTTTTCCCCACACTGTGTGATACTGATACTGTATTGCCACACCATCGCACACTTTTAATGATGTAAAAGTCAATGTTTAGGTATGAGTAGGTTTTTGCCATGCTGTGTCCTTTTTATTCACATCCTTGCCTGCCCCAGTACACATCCTGTTTCAGTATCTAAGTACACAATTTATGTCCTTTTATAGAATTCTCATGTCACTTGATCAATATCCTTATAGCTAGTGGTTTATTCTGTGGGAGCCAAAATTTATAGCATGCACAAATGTGTTTTTGGTTAGTGTAATCTTGAAACTTACTTTAAAAATTAAACGATTTTATCATCCACATTTTTATTATTGAAAATAGAAGGAGGGAAAATTATTCACTGATTTTATTAAAAAAAATATTTTAATTACATGTGAAATAATTACTTTTTTCAGGGCTGTTGGGAGCTGGTTTCCAGTGGTTTGGTTCTGAAGAAAAACTAAAATCTAATCCTTTGCAGCATCTTTTTGAGGTATGTTGATATAATGGCAGTCTATTAAAATCATAATGTGAATAAGCATAAATTTATCAACCCTGTAATTCTTTCTTTTTTTAATATTTTTTATCTTGCTTTCCTGTTTCTATTGCCAGACTTCTGGAACAAAACGAATTCCTTAAAAATGGTAAAAACTGTGTTGCAGTTCACTTTCTGGCTTATTTAACTAAATAAAATGAGAAAGAGACAGACATTTGAGACCCTAGAGAACTATTAGCAATCAGGACAGAGAACATTGCCCAAACAAATGAGCTGCCCTTCTTATATGGCAGCTTCCTATGTTCCTATAACTGTTTGGTTTTGCTCAGTGAGCTAAGTAGAAACACATCCTTTTTTCTTTCTTTATGGAAGTGATATTTATTAGGAAGATGGTGTGGGCAAAAGTTAAAGTGAATAACCAAGTATTCTTGGACTTCAGTCCCAATCAGCAAGGCTAGCAGCCAAGGAATATGGACTAGGAGTCTGCCATTTCCTGGAGGGAGTTATCAGCTCTTATATATTGGGGTAGCAGACTTTCCTTGTTGATCTTCCTGTGATCCTTGCCATTGGGGTGAAGATTACAGGATTTTGAACCTGGAAGGTCTTGAATACAAAATAAAGGTTTCATCATGGGCTGTAATCTTTTTGTTGATGGAGAAGACTTTCAGATTGAATTGTCCTGTATTTTTCTTTTTTTAATACAGGTTTATGTACAGGTCAATAAAGCTTCAGAAGAGGATGAAAGTATTAAAACTCTGGCAAAAGATTTCTTTAGAAAATTGGAAGCACAGGAAGAAGAGGCTGTGTCATTGTGGCAACATTTTAGAGATGTTAGCATTGAAGAATATGCTCGGGTGTATAAGGTGCTGACTTTTCTTTCAGTATTTAGGAATTATCCAATTCTAGGTATAACGACACTTAAATATCTTTGCATTTCTGAAAAATGTGCAGCCTTAGAATTGCCTGACACAGTTCTATAATATAGTGTGCATTGTAAAACAACAGACCACTATATGATTCAGAAAGAGAGATAATTTTATTTTAATCAGTGACCAGCTTAGAACAACCTATAACAAAATCCAGCAATACACATAACATACTTAAATAAAAATAAAATAATGCATCGTTGGTCTATTAACATAAATGAAAATGCACCTTAATTAAGAAAAATAGCTAAATTAGTTGTAAGTGAAGTTTATTAAGCAGCAATTGACAGTGTAGAAATAAATTGTATTGTAAAATCTAAAAAAAATATTCATGATCAGTTATAAATAAGACAACCAAGAATAGATGAAACAGATGTAACATGAGATGGATAATTGTGTGTCATGTAGAATAATATTATGTTCTGTTGCATTGTTTTGTTTTTTTTGTTTTTTGTTTCACATCACTTGCATATGGAGCCTTGCTGGTTTAGTGGAATATCTGTAGAGTAGAATTCAATATAAAAAACCTTTTGCGAATTAATAGCATGTTAATGGAACAAATTACATTTGACAACCTATTGCAATATTCCTACATGACTGAATAGGATTTTTTTTTTCAATATCTCTTGATATTTTTTTAAGCTCCATTTTCATTTACTCTGTCTATTTTGGTTTAGACCAGTGGTAGTCAACCTGGTCCCTACCACCCACTAATGGGCGTTCCAGCTTTCACGGTGGGCGGCAGGGGTTTTGTCCCCTACTTTATAAATCACCATTACTGTGGAACCGGTGGGCGGTTAGAGAAAAATTTACTACTAACAGAGATACAAAAGTGGGCGGTAGGTATAAAAAGGTTGGCTACCCCTGGTTTAGACTCTAGAAAGTCTTCAAGCAGAAAGCCATCAGAAATGCAGATTACATGGCTGTGCTGAGTGGGAATTCTGGGACTTATACAGCCTTTTGTCGGAAGAGAATGGTCTCATAGTTGAGGTTATTCTTGCCGATTCTAATTACTTTTTTCTTTTCTTGATGGGTCGTCCAGCGTCTGGGAATCTACTTTAATGAATATTCTGGAGAATCATTTTATCACGAGAAAAGTCAAGAAGTTATTAAGAGATTGGATGCAGAAGGACTTCTTATGAAAACGTATGAATGGGATTCTTTATTTCCAGTTTTTTGAAATGCCTGTTTTTCTGTCTTAATATATTGTATGTTGAGTCAAAGCTGTGTCACTTTAAAGCTGGACCATTTGTCTGAACTATATTAATATTTGCTGATTTAAATAACTAACTTAACTTTGTGAATACTGACATGCAGATACAGAGGGAAGTTTCACTCAGGGACACTTTATTGTGCAAATGGGGGGGGGGGCAACATATACATCTTTAAGAAGAGAAATTGAATCTGAAATGTTTGCAAGACTTGCAGGCCTGAGGTAAATGGTGAACTGCCAGCTCCTCATACTTTCATATGTGTCTTTCTTTCCATCCAGCAGACAGCATAGGACAGAAGAAAAGTCATCAATATCATCTTTGACATACTGTGGTCTTTTTCATTTATTACCATAAAGGTTCTTTAGGATAATCTTATCTAACCGGATGTCTCCAGGTCTATGGAGCTAAAGCTTTCATCATTGGCCATGCTGTCTGGGAATTCTGAGATTTTTAAAATCTAACCTAGCCTCAAAAATTCTGGAACACAAATAGGAGTACATGTACACAGGAGTACAGTTAGAGTATATGTGAATTGAACAAGATCTTGTGTTCAGAACTCCCTTCTTCCTTTTCCTCCTTTGCCATTGTAATTTGTAAATGAATGTTATTTCCCCAAGATCTATATTTTTGTTGTGTTCTAGTTCAAACATGGTGATTTAAAGTCACTTCTGATTAACTGCCGAAGAAGCTAATGTCAAATTTTCCAAATTTAAATTGGATTCATTAAGCCAGCTTTTATTTTAATCACAAAATCTATTTTGTGTGTAGGAAGCAAATAAGAAGTTGGGGAAAACAAACTACAATGTATTATCCCAGCAGCTTTGGAGGAGGGATAATCTTTTGTACATGATAATGACATGCAATAATGAGAAGCCTTTTGATGATCAGGGACTGTTTTTTTAATATTGTCCAGGTGAATGAGGGCTGCAGTAGGTAAATGGGGGGAGGGGGGCTGTATTATATACATAGGGCTGTGACTTTTTATTTTGTTTGGGGGGATCACTTTTAAAAAACACATTGAGCTTTTTTTTCAGAGCTTACAACTGCCTTTTTATTTCCCATTAACATTAACATTAAACCACAACTTCAAAGTATTTTTATATTTTTCTTGCATTATCCTTATAATCTTAATTATTGACATACTAGAACACTATCTGCCTGCCTGCCTGCCTAGCTATCCATCTATTATCTAACTAGCTAGCTAGCTAGCTAGTTAACTAGCTGGATGGAAGTGGATATTAAGAAAATCATGTACAATTACTTCTTGCAAGTAGATTGTTCAATGCTTTTTTTCATCATTTTCAGAGAAGGAGTAGGAAAAGTGCGTCTTTCTGAAAATGGAGATCCGGTTGCTGTGATGCGTAGCGATGGAACTTCGCTTTACTTAACAAGGCAAGCATGTTGTGTGATTGTTTATCAGTAAACAGCACATTATTTCAACCCTACTGATATATTTAATAGAATATTGCTGGTGGACAGATATAATCACAAACTGTTCATAATTTTGAAAGGTAGCATAGAAGTTTTTTTTTTAACTGAATATTTCATTTGGAGGATTTATCTGTTCTTCATGTTTCATTTCCAGAGATCTTGCTGCTGCTATAGACAGAATGGAAAAATATAAGCCTGACGTTATGTTATATGTCGTAAGTATTCTATGCTTTATATAAATTGCTTTGGTAGACGATGAAGATGTTAATGTACATTTTATAAGCATCTAAGCATTTTAAGAAATTTTGTTAGACCATTTCAAAAGATAAGTGTTTTCTAAGAAAATAATGGTATCATAATATGCTGTTCATCAAAAAAGGAGAATATTTATACCTCAGGGTTCTGTGGTCATATGCTGATCACTCCCAACTTCTCTAAGCTTGATAGGCGCTGCTGGTAGATTCAGGAAACCTGCAATTCATGACATCAGATTGATGTCTTGTTTGACAAAACTAGTTTTTTCCAGCCAAGGGGCTTTTAATTGGGTTGGACAGTAATCGCCATTTACTGCAATTATTTTTTCTGCAGTCCTAACTATCCACTGAAGTCTGCACCTGTCCTGTCTGGTTGCTGTACCAAACCAGAGTAATAGATGTACAGATGATAGACTCAATAATTCCTCTGTATAACTAAATCAGCAGCTTCTTGGATAGTTTGAGCTTTCTGAATTGATGCAGGAACAATCTTCACTGTATATTATATATACAACAAAGAATGTTATAATATGAAATAATATATTAATATAATACTAATATACTATTATCATATAATACAATATAATATATTAATATTATAATATGAAATAATGTTATAATATGAAATAACTGGGGCAACGGAAGGCTTGAAATATTATCTATTTCAAGCCTTCCGTTGCCCCAGTTATGATTTGAACATCGGAACTTTTCCAATTTTCCAAAGAAAACTCAGATAAATCCAAGTTTCATAGCATTATTTTTTTCCTTGGAAATCAACTGTGACAATGCTCTTTTGCATTTGATTGTTATGCACTAAATGACTAAATTGTTTTCCCCTCTTCTAAGACAGACAAAAGTCAGAGCTCTCATTTTCAACAAATGTTCCAGATTCTGAAATTACTTGGTTTCACTTGGGCAGAAAGGTAAATGTGAACATATCAAGAAGTTTAATTTAAAAAAAAACCTGAACAATGGTATTTTTAACATTAGAAGAGGAAAATGTGACAAATCAAATGTTCTAAATTTTTAGATGGGCAGAATATGGATAGTCAGAATTTGACCATTCTGGAAAGATTAAAAAAACAACTTATTTTAAGCAAGAATGTTAATGGTGGTTAAGATGTTAGATAGGAGCAAAAGTGACACAGGTTCATATCCTATCGATGGTGAAGCATGGAAAGTGTTGTGCCCCTTTTAATTCAGCCTGCCTAAGAGGTTTATTGCAAGGGGAAAATCCTTTATGAATCCTTAAACTCTCATATGAAATTATTCATGCAATAAAAAATAAAGTGGAGACTGTCTCCTTATATAAAATTTCAGTATTTGCTCTGGAATCTGCCTTTATGCCAGAGTAATTATGTGGAACACTATTAGTTCTATTTCCTGTTTTGGAGGGTTAGTTGGTTGCTTGAATGTTTCAACAGCAACCTCTTCATTAAGATTCTCGTTCAATATTGAAAGTATGAATCTTAGACAATCCTGGGAGATTCACATTTTATACTTAGGAGAAGCTGCCCTATGTTGAATCAGCAGCAGCAAATAGGACAAGGTGAAGTTAATCTTTTCTCATGTAAATTACCACATTGCAAAGTGATTGATTGGTGGTTAAGCAAATATGAAGTTGCTCTAACTGATTTAGGTTAAGCTTGTAAGGTGAATATAAAAATAAAGTTGGTAATAATGTGTGTGTGTGTGTTCTCTTTGTCTTCTATGTGTATAAAGGCACATTGTTGCCATGTCAAGCTTTTCTATATAATTATTGAGATGGTAGATCTTCCTGTTCAAAAAATATAGTTCATATTACAGCTATAGGAGCCGTGGTGGCGCAATGGTTAGAATGCAGTACTGCAGGCTACTTCTGCTGACTGCTGGCTGCCTGCAATTTGGCAGTTCGAATCTCACCAGGCTCAAGGTTGACTCAGCCTTCCATCCTTCCAAGGTCAGTAAAATGAGGACCCAGATTGTTGGGGGAAATATGCTGACTCTGTAAACTTAAGAGGGTTATAAAAGCACTGTGAAGCAGCATATAAGTCTAAGTGCTATTGCTATAGCATGGGCAATGAAAGAAAGGATGCTTATGTAATGCACACATGTGGATATATCTAGTTTCTAATCCTATTTTGGAGGGAATAAAGTCTGAAACTAAAGCAAAACTTCCACTCCTACATGCGTAAAAGTAGAGCATAAGAAACTGTTCTCAGCCATGGCTAATAGAGCACTTCGTACTTAGGTTACTTTATTTATTAGATTCATAATCCACTCTTCATTTAGGAACTCAAAGCAGCATCTACAGCATTTCCTTCACCCCTTTTCCCTCACTTCAGCAACTCTTGAGGAATAGAGCTTCTGTGGCTGAGGGTAGAAGTAACGTATTTTTCTGAGATCAGGTTTAACTCTAAAAGTATGAAAATGCCATTCTTATTAAGGGATATGTTTGTAGTTTCTAAGGCAGAAAAATAGTCACTTTTTATCTATGATGTATATTAGACCAGGGGTCCTCAACCACCGGGCCGCGGACCGGTACCGGTCCGTGGAGCACTCTGTACCGGGCCGCAAAGAAAAAAAAATTAAAAAAAATGGCGGCTTTCTTCGCCTTCGGTGAATGCTGCTGGGATCGGGGATCAAGGACACAAATGAAAGAAGGGGAAGGAGGAAGCAACCGAAGCCTGTCCTGCTCTCTGGCTCAGCGGCTTTGGTTTCCTCCCGCCTCGTTCCTCTCTCGGTCGCTCTCTCGCTGCTCCACCAGCCCAGGAAGAAACTGCTTCAAAGAAGCCGGGGGGGGTGGCTTTTCCTGTTGCCGCAGCTCCTCCAAAGCGCCCGTTTACCCCCACCCCACCCGCCCGCCCGCGCTTCAATTCAGTGCTCCGTTCTGCCTACCTGCCTGCCTGCCTTCATTTCGGAGCAGCTTCGGCTGAGAATAATAACTATTCGCCTCTTTTTATCAGCCGAAGCTGCTCCGAAACGAAGGCAGGCAGGCAGAACGGAGCACTGGGTTGAACCGCGCGTGGGCGGGCGGGGTGGGGGTAAAC